ATTCCCAAAGTGAGGCTCAAAGCCTGCAGCCAGAGATCCCTTGAAAGACGGTCCTTCCCCGAGGCTGGTGGGCACTAGGCAGGATGTGGGATTTAAGAAAACCTGTGGTCAGCTTCCTTACAGCCGTGTGGAACAGGGGTCACGTTAAATTTCAGGAGTAGTGAGAGGCGTGTCCAGAGTGGCCGCAGTGGTGTGGACTGACATGCACTGGTCTCAGGAGAGCCAACGGGTCCCTTTGTCTTGGTCACGGTGGGAGAGCAGTACCAGCTCAGTGCACCTGGATGTAGGTGCCTCAGGTCCTTTTAGGCTTCAGCTGCTGACCACTCGGCAGAAAGGGCTGTGGTAGAAATCTCCACGGGGCCTTTTTGTTTTTGTGTGTGGACTTTGTACAACAAAAGAGCTGGCTTCCTTTTCCTGGCTTGGTACATGGGTTTGTCTAAGTAAGGAAAAGTTTCTTGGGGTGGAGGAGGCAAAACCCTTCTGAGAACACGGTAGCAAGCGGGAGACATGCACACTCTGTGAGCGTGAACAACAACTTCTAATGTCATCTTAGCTTTTGGGTGCGATGGCTTGGATGTTCCTGTATGACAATGGGGAGATAGAGGGACCACCACCCGGTGTGTGTGGTGGCGATTATCTCAGTATTTCCTCAACACCAGGTAAATACATCCCTGGGAGGGGACGCAGGAGAAGAGGGGAGAACCTGGTGCTTTCGGTCTCCCGGGAACTCAGTGAGAGTGATTCCCACCATTTTTAGTGCACGAGGCCTAGTGCAATATGCTCACTGCTCCAGCTTATTTTACCTGCTCACTGCCCACCAGATGTCCAGTTGCTCTACTAGTAAGGGCAGGGCAAGTCCTAAAGGGCTCATGAGTCTCTTTATTTATATGCTTGGGACATAGCCCATGGAGTACACATCTCTAAAGATGTGCGAATAAACATTTTGGAGTGTCCCTGCCCAGTCCGTCTGTGAGGTGTTCCTAGTCCCATCCCACACATCTGAAACCACATGGCCTGGAGAATACATCCTGAGGGGAGAGGTTTCTGGTCTGACAGGTCATCTCCTCCCACCCCCACAACTTTTCTCCCTGGAGTAATAAAGTAGAGGGATTTAGAACCTTCTAAATCATAGAAAAATATACCAGGAGACCTCATATTCCCCTGCCCTTGGCTGCCAGGCCCAGTGTCCCCTCACCAGAGGTCCTGGCGTCTCCCTGACAAAGGCCTGGGAAGACCAGCGTGGGGAGCTACCCTGGCGACTCAGTGCAGCTCCTGTTCCACCTGCAGGTTCGAGCCCTCAGGACTGGCCTGTGACCTCCCGGGCCCATTTCAGAGCGATGGTCTGGAGTGTAGTCTCTGTCTGAATTCCCATCAGCTCAGGTTTGAGGCTTCTGTGCATAGAATGGGTAAGAAAGGCAGTAGTCATCCATTGGGGTCTACTCTTTGGAGGGTCCAAAAAGAAAAGAGGAAAGGTCCAAGTGGTCATTTTCCTTAAGGGTGACACTCAGGGTCCTGTCTGTAACCCCATACCCTGTCTCTCTGCCCGGGTGATGGGGGGACACCTACAGTTAGGGAGGACAGTCAGGCCTCAGTGGACTCTGAATCCTCATGGTCAGATCAGGCAGCGGTTCTACCGAAAGGCTGACGAGAACCACAGAGACGTCATGAGGAGCTGTGAGAAGGACGGTAGGATGGAGGTGTTTCCTTCCTTAGCTCTCCACAAGCAGAGCCCTGTGGGCTTCACATCCTCTCCAGTAACACCGTGGCCTCGATTGGATCACCTGCAGCTGAGCCACCAGTGCCGAACTGTCCTCGTAGCCATCGTGTGAGCTCCATCAAAGCCTTCCCGGCGCTGTGAGAGGGAGGATGGAGGACAGCAGTGACCCTGACGGGGATGCCTGCGTGCATGAGACTGTCCTCGCTGTTGGGTCACGCATGAAATTCTCTTTGTGAACCTGAGTTACGTTAAAAGAAAATCTCTTTGTCACTCTTTTCCTCTCATCACTCCCAAGTCACCTTCCACTCCTCCTGTGCCTCCTCTGTGGCAACGTTTACATGCAACACATAGAACTCTTCAATTTCTATATGACAAGGCTAAGGGATTCCCCAGATTTCTTAATCTGAAAATAAATTAAACTCAGCAAAAGTCAAATGCACAGATATTTATTTTACTTTTTTAAACATGTTTTTATTGATTTTTTTAGGGAGCGGAGAAGTGAAAGAGAGATAGAAACATTGATGTGAGAGAGACAGATCCGCCGGCTGCGTCCTGCATGCCCCCTACGGAGGATCAAGCCCACATCCTTGGCATGTGCCCTGACCGGGAATCAGACTGGATCCTCTCGGTCCATGGGACATTGCTCAATCCACTGAACCACCCTGGCCGGGCTTGAATGCACAGATTTTTATGGGAAGGAAAACTGAACTGACATATGAGGCAAGCAGAAGGCAGATACTTAAAAAAAAAAAAAAAAAAACACTCACATGAGAGAATTATAGGCTGTGGGAGCTGGAAATGGCCTTACGTTTCTTCAAATTCAATCTCCTTATTTCATAGGGAAGGAGAGTGGAGAATAAAGATGCACAGCTGGTTGGTTCAAAGATAGGAGCAGAGAGAGCGACCACGAGCTTTCTTCCTGGTGTCGTTTCTTCTGCTCCTCCAGTGGGACGCCTACATCCCAGCAGCAGGGGTGTCTTTCCATCATGAAGCTTTAGCGCGGAAGGAACTGTTTTCTGCTGTCAGCTGTCTTCTCCACCTTCATCCCCGCCTCTTCCTCTGCAGAGTAAAGGCCACAGTTCCATCAGTGAATGACTCCTTCACTCTGACCAGGCCGAGCAGGAGCAAAGACAGCAAAACGTCCCAGTACTGCCTTTGGAGTCCAGCAAAGACTGTCCTATGAGGACTTGAATGAAATATACATTTAGAAATAAACAAAATATTGCTGAATTTTAATTTATTATAGGTTAAAAATTTTTTTTTTACCCTCAAGCACTGTAATGCTTTTGTAGCTATAAGGGAATGAAAATCCTGTTTTTTATTTTTTTCAGTAATTATGTAACCTCACTGAGTCTGAGTTCCCTCACTTATGAAATGTGGTGATACTACCTGTGCGGGCTGTTGAAGGTCATGGCTGCGCCGCAGAGCAGGTTCTGTGTGGCGGAGATGGTCCCAGCCTGTCACAGCTCCGCCTGGGCTTCCTCCCTCTCCGCGGCCCCCCGTCTCCCCTCCGCCTCCTCTCTGCACGGCCACAGCTCCCTGATGCTCACAGCCCCTCCAGCTTCTCTTGGAAGGTTCCCGTGAACATTTGCTTCTCCTTCCTCTGCGTTTCCACAACATTGGGGTCAGGGTTGTCCCAGTCTCCAACGCCCTCATGGGTTTAAGTTTCCTAACTCATCTCGTACACCACACATGCTCTCCATTCTCAACCCAGAAACAGAAAGATCCTGTTAATTTTTTTTTTATCCTCACCCGAGGACATTTTTTCATTTTTTTGTTCAGATAGAGTGAGAGGTAGAGAGAAGAAGAGAGAAAGAGAAACATCGACGTGAAAGGGACACATCGAGTGGCTGCCACCCGCATAACCAACCAGGGCCGGGGACAAACTGCAACCGAGGTACATGCCGTTAGAGGGAACCGAACCCGGGTCTCTCTGGACCACAGGCTGACGCTATAACCTCTGAGCCAAACTGGTCAGGGCTCCTGTTGATTTTTTAGGGAGAGAAGAAGTGAGAGGGAGATAGAAACATCCGTGTGAGCGAGACACATAAATCAGCTGCCTCCTATACGCCCCCTACTGGGGACCGGGTCCAAAACCTGGGCATATGTCAGATCAGGTCATGCCTCTGCTCAGGACCTTCCTGTGGTTTTCAGTCTCAATTCGAATAAAAGCTGAAATCTTCTCAAAATGGCCTCAGCGTTCGAATGATGTCACCACTCATTGCTTCTCTGACCACCCCTGTTCATTCCCGTCTTGTCCACTGTGACTCATTCACACGCGTGTCTCACGGATCCTTGAGCCTTCCAAGTAGACTCTCACCCCTACCGCGCCCTTGGCCTGGAAGGACCTTCCCTCAGACAGCTTGAGTCTGTCTCCCTTTGCCCAGTCTGTGCGAAATGGAATATTCTGAAGGAGGCCTTCCCGAACCACCTTGTTAGAATTGTCTGCACATCTTCTCCCGGGAAATTTTATGTCCCCAGCTTTATTTCATCCTCAGCATGTATCACTAACTTACTGTGGAACTGACTGACGTATTGGTTTCTTCTCTGTGAGCCTTCCCTGCATGTAAGCCACATGGGAGACTATTCCCAGAGCAGTGCCCGGTATGGACTGTGCACGTTATTCGTTCATCCAGAATGAACTTGTGGGAAACAGGGTGGCGTGATTAGAAAACTGGGTTTGGACTTCAAATTCCCATTCTGTCACTAACTGTTTGACTGTTGGAACAGTCAGTGACTTCAACTCTCTCAGCTTCAATTTCCCCCTAGGTGAGAGAGGAATATGATAATGATCTACCAAGATGGTGAAGTTTTGGAACAAAAAGTTTCAAAACTATTTTGCATGAGATAAAATTTTATTCAAACTTAAAAAAACCTATTTATTTAAATAAACAAAAATTAATTTGCAAAATAGACAAACTCATTGGAGGGGAGGAATTTTGAGTTCCATTATTTCTACAAAGTTAAGAATGAGCCCTGGCCGGTTTGGCTCAGCGGTTAGAGCATCGGCCTGCGGTCCAGAGAGACCCAGGTTCGGTTCCCGCCAAGGGCACATACCTCGGTTGCAGTTTGTCCCTGGCCCTGGTCGGTCGTGTGGGTGGCAGCCACTCGATGTGTTCCTTTCACATCAATGTTTCTCTCGCTCTCTCTGTTCCTCTCTCTCCCCCCCACTCTACCTGAACAAAAAATGGAATAATGTCCTCGGGTGAGGATAAAAAAAAAAAAGTTAAGAACGATTTCATGAGATCTACAGACTGATCCCTTCTATTCATCTACCCACCTCCTACACATACACCTTCGGTGTCCATCCACTGTCAATTAGTTCTGCCGCAAGGGAAAGCTGTACATTTGGTTTAGCCAACCCAACGATCAGACAGACGCCATAGCTCGGGTTGCAGGAGTCCCAAGCAGCAATCTGAAATGAGGGTAATCAACATAAGTGCATTCCATACCTAAGTAGCAATTACCATCAGAGGTGGAAGAAATTGTGGAGTTCCTAGATTTATTTTGAACCTCTTCCTGTGCAGATGCGACTTCAACTTCAGCTTCAACACTGCCACCGATGGGATCTCATTAGAGAACCAATGGAGTTTAGTGATAAGAAGCACAGACTGCTATCTGTGTGACCTTTAGGTTAAGTTACTTAACCTCCATATACCTCAACTTCGTTGTTTGTAAAAAGAAAAATAATACCACCTACTTCATAGAGTTATGAGAATTAAGTGATTTATCATTCTTCAAACATTTAGAAAACTATCTGGCAAATAGTAAGTACCATGTGTTTATTAAATAAAACTACCCACTGCTTCAAAAGCAATACACTATGCATTCTTTGCCTGACCGTCTCACTGTCTGTGTAGCTCACTTCTATCAGAACAACGCAAAACAAATATGTTCATATCTGTGTGTGAAGCCTCATTCTTTTAAACAAATCAATTTTCTAAGGATGTATAGTGTATTTCTTCATATCTATTTTGCTTTCTTTTCTGGTTCTCAACCCTGCTGTCTTCCCCTCTTTCCTTCATTTTGCCTTATTTTCCTCTTTCCTCTTATCTATATTACTACCTCTGCTTCCTGCATTCTTTGACCAAGTACATTAGATACACACAGAAATATACTGAATGTCTACATTCCCTCCGCTGAACTGTAAGATTCAAGAGAGTGGTGCGCATTTTAAAAAAAATATGCTTTTATTGATTTTTTAGAGAGAGAGGAAGGGAGAGAGAGAAACATTGATGTGAGAGAAAAGTATCAATCGGCTGCCTCCTGCATGCTCCCTACTGGGGTTTGAGCCCACAATCCAGGCATATACTCTGACCAGGAATCCAACTGGGACCTCTCAGTCCGTGGGATGCTTAATCCATTGAGCCACACCAGCCAGGCAGAATGGTGCCTATTTTATTTACCCTTGTATTCCTAGAATTTAACACACTTGTGCATAAAAGCTCATTTTTCAAATGAATGAATGGTTCTGATATAGGACACATATAAATATCATATGTAAATTAAATAATGTGTAAAATTCAATAGAAACACATATACAAAGAAAGAACTAGGAATAAAGAAAAGGGGATACTGGGATTGTGGCCCTTTGAATGTTTAAACTTTGTGTACTATAATGACATATCTTTAAGTATATGTGGCATTTATTTTTTTAATAAATTTTTTAAAATTGAATTTGTTGTGGTTATACTGGCTAATAAAATTATATAGGTTTCAAGTGTACAATTCTATAATAATCATCTGTATATTGTACTGTGTGTTCACCATCCTAAGTCTAGTCTCCTTCTGTCACCATTTATCTCTCCTTTACCCTCTTCTACCTGCTCCACCCCCTTTTCCCTGTGGTTATCACCATACTTTTGTCTGTGTCTATGAGTTAGTTTTTTCTTAATCCCTTCACCTATTTCACCCAGCCCCCACCAGTATCACTCCCCTCTGACAGCCGCCAGTCTGTCTTCTGTATCAGTGAGTCTGTTTCTATTTTGTTTATCAAAATAAATGTTTTAGAGTGAATTGATGTTCTATTTTTAGATTTGGGGTTCACAAGTCCAAAACTTTTACTTATCTACATGAGGATATTTAAGGTGTTAAACATCTACTCATTGTGCCTCAAGCCTACATACCACGGTATCTACAAGTCCAATGGCCTCAAAGGCAAAGTCAACACCAACAGCCATCATTTCCTTGACCAACTGCTGGACTGGCTTCGTGAGGTTGGAGGGTTGAGATAATCAGTGACCCCTAAGGCTCTTTCCCAGGGAAATGTTTCCTCATTGGTATCAGCTCCAATGATTCTAGAAGCACCAGAGGCTCTGCAGCCCATGGCAACGGCTGAGCCAATCCCTCCAAGTCCAAAGACCACACAGATAGAACCAGGGGTGACCTACACATTCACAAGACATGTTTGTATTATAAATGAAAACTGGACATGTGTAACTAAGAAAACAAACAAATAAACACGACCAGTGAAACTTTTGGAACACCAACTGAAACATTTGAACTGATTTGGCCTAGCTTTAATGTTTTCTAGGCAAAACACTATGACACATACTAACACACAGGTATCTTCCTCACGTTGGCCGAGTTAACAGCAGCCCCATAGCCTGCAGGAAACTCACAGCTCATGAGACAAACTTTATCCAGAGGAGCAGCAGCGTCAATTTTTGCCACTGCGATCTCAGGCACAGCAGTGTATTCAGTGAAGGTGCTGGTGCGGAAAGAGTGATAAATCCTTTTTCCTTTGCAGGTAAATCTCCTGGTCCCATCCAGCATTAATCCAGAAGAAGGTATAACACTAATCCGCAGTGACACAGATGCAGGTACAGGTGCTGGCACGAACACGGGGTGGTAAAGAGAAAAGTGAGCACCTTTAGCTACAGGTCAATGCTTGTACAATATAAACAATTCAGTAAAAGAGTGAGCGGTAAATCTACTAAGTCTTGTCTCTCACAGAAGTTTCCGTTGAGGTGCAAACAGGAACTGCATTCTCTACACTGTGGAACAATGAGTGTGAGGACTTGATCACATTTTTTTCTTTCTCTCTGTAGGAGATGATTAGTTTAAAATATTGTTGGAACAGAAATACAATAGTATGTTTACAAAAATTTCATTGGATGACTTGAAAACTTGTTGTGGACAGAGTACAGCAGCCAGTATAACATTTCCCATGGTTGTTTCACAAGAGAAACCATCTAACCTGGTTTCAGAAATTCCATTATCTTTTTGGGCAAATAATGGAAATTTGAAGATATTCCTTTCTGGATAGAGATACAAGTGGGCTTCCCTCTACTCTGGAAATAGAATAATAAAATCAAGAATGAACCTTAAAGATGTTGCCTAGTTTAATCCTTTTGTTATCCATTTGAGGGATGTAAGTCCCACAGTAGTTGTCACCTGCCTAGATAGCAGCAGAACTCTTCACTGAGTTCCACTGACCCTCATTCATGCTATTCATCTATAGTTCATCAACGACAATGCTACACTATCACATATATGAACTCAAATGCCCCAGATTATTACATCCACTCTCACTAATATGTTTTTATTAGGAGGCCTCTGCATAGTCTCCCCACACAGACCCATAGCACACAGATCTCTGACATGTTTTCTTTAGTGAGGCTAAGTTCCAAGATATGCTAACTTCAGAGAATAAAAGGAATCCCTCTTCCTCCATAGAAGACTTCTTCTGGAGCACTTTCTATAGAGAGTGGCTTTTAAGTTGCAGAGTTGTAGGAAGGATACTGATTACATTTGGATCCAGTCACTAACTAATCTTCCTGGGCCCTAGGGTGACAGACTAGGTAGGGTTTGGTAAGAAAATTAACACAGTCAACACAGACTCACAAATGCCTGACAGAGGTCTACAATGTTGTTCCTACACTGGTCCTCAGAGACTTTTATAATGCAGAAACTACTCCCCTTTGGCTTCTTGTAGGAATATACCCTAAGAAGCCTAAAATGCCAATCAGGAAGAATATATGTACCCCCATGTTCGTAGCAGCACTATTTACAATAGCTAAGATCTGGAAACAGCACAAGTGTCCATCAGTAGACGAATGGATACAAAAGCAGTGGTACATATACACAATGGAGTACTATGCAGCTGTAAGAAATAAAAATCTCTTATCCTTTGAGACTACATGGAGGGACCTGGAAAGTATCATCCTAAGTGAAACAAGCCAAACAGAGAAAGACAAGTATCATATGATCTCACTTATTTGTGGAATATAATGAATATAACAATCTGAAGAACAGGGTAGTCCCAGAGAATTGGAAGTAGGGTACAGACTGATAATCCCCAGAAGAGGGGGTGGGAGGGAGAGGTAAACTACAGAACTTACATGCATGTGTGCATGACCAGTGGACACGGACAACAAAGCTGGGGCGAGGAAGGAGGGGGAGGAGGGTATCATTCGGGGGAAAAAGGAGAAACATCTGTAACAAAAATTAATTAATTAATTAATTAAATTTTTTTAAAAAAAAAAGATCTCTTGTAAGTTTAGATAAGACACATTTACCTTCATGGGCCCAAAGCACTGGATCTCAAATTCAGAAGTTCTGCTCTCATCCTTTCTCTTCAAATGCCCATCATTTTCAAGAAAACTTCCACTGGAATTTTTCTATCTGAAGAGTAGTTAAGAGTATATATCCCTCTTATTTGCATTATGTTCTTGGAGATGTAAAGACCATGACTTTCTACTTTTTTCCTCTTACTATGACTAATGTCAGATGCATGGTAGACATCCATACTTGTTTGCTAAATGAACACCCTGATAACAGTTTTGTGAATGTTCTGACCATGAACTTTCCTAACTCTACTTGTGTGCTTGGCTACAAGCTGTGAGGTATCTTAATCTGTGTGACTGCTTTTATTCACTCTGATTATTTCAGACATGCTGAGATCCCTTTTGATCGGTCTGGGGAAGAGCATATACTTGTTTTCTTTGATTCTTTGAAATATCACTATCATCCTATTAATGAAAGTTCAAATTGTATGTTCTACTTGTTTAGAACATTTACTCATTTGTCAAACCCATTCAATGTATTCTATCCCTGGGACAGGCATGGTACTAAGCATTTGGGGGACACAGACCATATATATATTCCCTGATCTGAAGAGCTTTTTAATTGATTTAGAAGTACACTGGTCCTATATCAACTCTCATTTGGCTATGAATATATACTTGGCCCAGTCACTGCCCCTGGACTGCTAGAGATGACAGCAGAGAAACTGTGTGGCTCTTGGAATGACTAGATATATTTAATATCATGATATATGATTAGTTAGAAGAATTTAGACGTAAAGCAATTTATTTCTTCTGGAAATATATTAATACATCATAAGTTTCTTCTCTGTGTAAGGATAGCTCTTTGGCAGGCAGTTTATGGAAAGGCTTTTGTGGCCCATTACCCACCTGGTGTTACTGAGCTCGCTCCTTTGCCAATACTCTCCACAACACCGGCTCCTTCATGGCCTGGGGCTAAAGGAAAATTCATGGGGTGTAATTTTTTCAGAACATGATCATCAGTACCACAGATCCCTGTAGATTTTAGCTGCATAAAAATAAAGTGACAAAAGATCAATAGGTTTGATTTTTTTCTCTTTCTTTTATCTGAGACTGATTATTAAGGGTTTCTGGGGAAGGGGGGGGGTGTTGCATGAATGATCTCTTTGATATCTATAATAACTCTTAGAGAAACACAGGGAAGATCTTATCACCTCAAACCTAGACATCAGGAAAGGGAATTCAAAGACTTAGAATAACTTGCCCAGAGTCATGTGGTGTGTGTTCAGGTATGGAAATAAACTGAGTTTTTTTTAAAACCTAGTCAGTACACCCCATATCATAAAACAGTTTTGAAATATAAGCACCATCTTTGAAGTGAAAAACTAAAAGCTTTTCCATTAAGATCAGAAACAAGGCAAGGATGTCCACTCTTGCTACTCGTATTCGTTATAGTACTAGAAGTCCTAGCCTGAATAAGCGGTTGGAACATCGGCCTGCGGACCAGAGAGTCCTGCATTTGGTTCCCGCTAGGGGCACGTACCAAAAGAAAAAGAGGCATCCAAATTTGGAACAGAAAAGTAAAATGGTGACTATTTGCAAATGACATGAGTATAAATAGAGAAAACCCTAAAGATTACACCAAATGAGTATCAGAAACAAAAAAATATAGTAACATTGCAAGACACAAAATCAAGGTACAAAAATCCACTGCATTCCTATATATTAACAAAAAAAAAAAAAAATCAGTAAAAGAAATAAAGTAAACAATTTCATTTACAGTTGTAGCCAAAAAGGTAAAATACCTAGGAATAAACTTAACAAAGAAAACGAAGGACCCATACACTGAAAACTATAAGACATTGTTGAAAGAAATCGAGGAAGACACACAAAAAAGGAAAGATATTCTGTGTTCATGGATTGGAAGAATTAACATAGTTAAAATGACCATATTGTCTAAAGCAGTTTACAGACTTAATGCAATCCCCATCAAAGTCCCAGTGAAATTTTTCACAGAAATAGAACAAAAAATTCTTAAATCTGTATGGAATCACAAAAAATCCCCAAAAGCCAAAACAATCCTAAGTAAAAGAGAACAAAGTCAGAGGTATCACATTCACTGACTTCAAATTATACTACAAAGCTACAATAATCAAAACACTATGGCGTTGGGGGAGGAGGGGCACAGACACAGAACAATGGAACAGAATTAAATGCCCATAAATAAACCCACATATATAGACAATTGATATAGACAATTCATTTTTGACAAAGGGGTTGGAAACATACAATGGAGAAAGAAATGCCTCTTCAATAAAGAACACTGGGAAAACTAGAAAGTCACATGTAAAAGAATGAAACTAGACTGCTATCTGATACCATACACAAAAATTAACACAATAGATTAAAGACTTGGATATAAAACCTGAAACAATAAAATACCTAGAGGAAAACATGGATACTACACTTATGGATCTTGGTCTCACAGAGTCTTTTATGAACTTGACCTCCAAAATAAGAACAGTGACACCAAAAGTAAATGAAAGGGACTACATCAAATTTAAAAGCTTCTGCACAACAAAAGAAACCATCAACAAAACAAAAAGGCAACCAACCAAATGGAAGAAGATATTTGCAAACAATACCTCCAATAATAATATCCACAATATATAAACTCATACAACTCAATCACAAAAAAACAACGATCCAGTTAATAAGTGGGTACCGAACCTGAACAGACACTTTTCCCAAGAAGACATACAGATGGCCCACAGATAAATATTGCTATCATCCTATCATTGTGGAAATGCAAATAAAAAACACAATGAGATACCACCTCACACCTGTTAGAGAAGCTACTCTCAATAAGATAAGAAATAAAAGTGTTGGTGTGAATGGAGAGAAAGAGGAACCCTCTTAAATTGTTTGTGGGAATGTAAATAGGTGCAGCCTTTATGGCAAACAGTATGAGTTCCTCAATAAAATAAGAGTAGAGCTACCATATGACCCCAACAATCCCTTTTCTAAGTATCTTCCTGAAAATTTTGGAAAACTTATTTGTAAAAATATATGTGCCCCTATGTTCACTGCAGCTTTATTCACAATAGCAGACATGGAAACAACTTAAGTGTCCCTTGATGGATGACTGGATAAAAAAGACATGTTACTGTATACAACGAAATGCTACTTAAACAAAGATGAAATATTGCCATTTGGGACAACATGGATGGATCTTGAGAGTATCGTGCTAAGTAAAATAAGTCAGATAGAAAAGGACAAGAACCATATGATTTCACTCATATGTGGGATACAAAACAGAGAGCAACAAATGAACAAGCAAAACGAACAAACTCATAGACACAGACACAGTATAGTAGTTACCAGAAAGAAAGGGAGGTGGGGGTGGGGAATAAAGAGAGGAAAGGAGGGTCAAATATATAGTGTGGAAGGAGACCTGACTTTGAGTGGTAAGCACACAATGCAATATACAGATGATATATTATAGAATTGTACAACTGGAACTTATATAATGTTATTAACTAATGTTACCCCAAATTTTAACTGACATGAAGAAGTTTTAAAACTTCTTTGTTAATGGTCTAGGTGTTCTTATCTGTGAATAGAGTCAGCCCAAATACACTGATCATAAAAATGAGACATTTCATGTACTACAGCTTCTATATTACTGCTCCACCTGGAGTATGGCCAGAAAAACATGCCCAAGCATACTGACTAGTTTTCCAGTATCTGTAGTGGGAAAGGCAGCATTTATAGCTGGAACATTGGGAACAACTGTGGTATATGATTGTGACAAATGGGTGAGAAGCAATGCTCACAAGAAATATGCTGTAATTTTGGCTTTCACAGTGCTAAAATAGCTTCAAGAATCAAGGCTAAAAGTATTACCTTAGGCATGCAGTTGGCTAGAATCTCCTTATTAATTTTATTCTACATATTAAAAAATGCAATTATTTGTGGGAAGCTGTCCTTATCATAAACTGCGGGTGGGATAGTCTGTCCTTATGGGTACATCCAGTCCTCAACCTTGATTTTTAAAAATATATTTATTTATCTTTTTTTTTAATCCTCACCCAAGGACATGCTTAGAGAGAGGAAGGGAAAGAGAGAGAGAGAAACATTGATGTGAGAGAAACATCAATGGGTTGCCTTCGTGCCCCAACTGGGGATCAAACCAGCAACCCAGGAATATGCCCTGACTGGGAATTGAACCAGCAAGCTCCGGTGTACAGAATGACAGTCAACCAACTGAGTCACTCTGGCTGGGCCTCAGCCTTGATTTCTTCCAGGGCTCGGAGCGATATTGCTCAGGTCCTTGCTGTTATAACTTTCACCTTGATAAGCTATTCTAGATTTATTATTTAGGGTACAGCCTTTGTAGTTAAGGAGCATATCAATGTAAGAACTGAAAACATTGGCTAATTATCTAGTAAATATTTCAATGATGACAATCTAGTACATAATTAGCATTCAGTCCTCATATGAATGAAATATATGATATAACTTCTCAGTAGTGGTCAATTACTAAACTCCTACCTTTGTGTACATTCTAACTACCTTTCTTCCCCTCCCCTTCTCCCCCGCACAAATCATCTCTCATTTATCATAATAACAGACAGAGTTGATAATTTATTTAGTGTTAGTTATACATCTCTGTTTTGTCTTTCATTGCTCAACTATCTTTTTCTAGTTTCCTCCTTCCCTCCTCTTTTTCCTTCTGGCATCCTTTGAATTCCCTTCCTCCCTTTACTCTGTTACTCTTCTAACCACCCTCCTATACCTTCTCCTTTGATCAGTTCTGGACTAGAAGCACATAGCTTTAAGTGTTTGTTATATTCATTGAATCAAGTGTTAAATTTCCTGGTCTTAAATTAGAAGATAGGTGAATTTAATGTTTAATAAGACTCTAAGCAAAAATACTCTTAATTTTGCTTATTTAGTGATTTCATAAAATTTGAGATATACTGATTAAGAGGTTGATTTGAGAGTGGTAAGGGGTCTTTGACAGGTCAGTTTTCTCCAGTCCCTGGTCTAAGCTCTGTTCAATAATTGTTAGCTCTTCCAAATTACTTTGAAGACCATCATGATGTGCCAGGTGCTCATTCCTAGAAATTGACATTTATACCTGTGCACTTTTTCAGAGAAATTCTGACATTTTCATAATGTGTGAACACAAAACAATAAAGATAAAAATATAAGTCTGTTAGTCACTAAATATTCATTTGTTGATATCAACTTGTATCATAAAAATATGGGGAGATGCATTCTTTGTTCCTTTTCCCCAAAATGAAAAGTACATAAAACTTAAAACACCTTCTAGATCACACTGTGAAGTATATTGGCCAATAATATTATATAATTTAAGTAAAAATTGTAATACTTACAAAATAATTATATTGGGTGAGTGAACTGACAATATTTTACAATTATTAAAAAATCTCAAACATTTATTGACTGCATTCATTTATCTTAATTTTTAAATCTTTGTTTACTAAGTGAACAGACTAAAAATGCAAATTATAGATTTATATAATAAAACAGGATTTCCTTACATTTACCTTCAAAGACAAGGGTTAAAACAATTAAATTTACCTTAGTAGGAACTTCCCAGCTTTTGGTGGCTCAACTTGAACTTCCTCAACTGAAAGAGGAGAATTTGTTTTCCAGGCAGTGGCTGCCTGGCATGTAATTTTCTGTTGACACAAGGACAATAAAATGACATGATTAGCAATAACATTTAACTTTTTTTTAATGCTTACCTGAGAATATTTTTCCTTTTTTTTTTTTTTTCCAGAAAGAGTAGGAGGGAGAAAGGAAGAGAGAGCGAGAGAAACATCGATGCAAGTAAGACACATAGACACATTGCCTCCCACACGACCCCAACCAGGGCCAGGGCCAGGGACTGAACCGCAACCAAGGTACATGCCCTTGACTGGAATCGAACCAGCAACTCCTTGGTCCTTGGGCCAATGCTCCAAACGCTGAGCCAAACCAGCCAGGGCCTAACTTTTATTCTGATCATATAAATGACACTACGTGTTATAATTTATAAAAATGTAAAAAATAAAATAAAGACAGAGGAAAAAGATCATTGCAATTTCAGCGTCAAGCTGTTCAAATTTTGGTATATTTCCTTCTATATGACATTAAGATCATGTCATATAAGCAATTCTTTATTCTGCTTTTTTGCTAATAACAGCATCATGTATTGAACATTTACCATTCACTTGTTCATAAGTATTTTCTCAAGACTTTAAAATGCTTTGAAATCATAATTTTAAGTGGCTCCTTTTATTTCATCATGTGAATGTGTCCTAATTTGCTTAATCAGTAACTACCAAGACATGCAATTATTTACACTGCTTTGAGTTTCATAAAGAATATTGTGAATAACTTAATTTATGATTTTGACTTGCCTGGCTTTCTTAAGTAAGAATTATTTAAGAAAGGGTAGAGACATCATTAGGACTAAATTGATTTCTAAATCTCTTTACAGAAAGGTTGAGCTATATGGCACAGTCCATAGAAGCATAAAATAATATCTATAGCCTTTGTTCCACCCTCATTAGCATTGACAGTAGTCATTATAAATACAATATTGGACAGGCAGAAAGAGCTAGTTATTTCCTTTAATTAGTAGTTTTTTAATGTTAATGACGTTCAATGTTTTTTATGTTTATATTAATTGTACATATTTCTCTCTTTTGTGGAGTATTTGGTCATATAGTTTAGTTAAGGATCTACTGACATCTTGCCATTTTTTAAAAATTATTTGACCTCATGTATGGAGTCACCAGTTATCTGTCAACTTGCCACATGATTTTCCCCTGTTGACTTTTGACCTGTAATTTTGTATGCAGTTATATGCATGCACACACATACACATCTTTAAATTTTGGTTTATAGCCCAGCCAGTGTGGCTCAGTGGTTGAGTGTTGAGCCATGCACCAAGAGGTCACTGGTTTGATTCCCAGTCAGGGCACATGCACAGGTTGTGGGCCAAATTCCCAGTGGGGGGCATGCAAGAAGCGGCCAGTCAATGTTCTCTCTCATCGATGTTTCTATCTCTCTGTCTCCCTCTCCCTTTGTAAAAAATCAATAAAGAAAAAAAATTAAATTTTGATTTATAAAAAGATCTTTATCTTTGTTGTTTATTCCATTTCTATATTTTGAAAATTCTCTCCACATAGAGCCCAAATAAATATTTCTTATCCTCTTTCTAGATTTTTATAGTTTGATTTTAAAATATTTCTTTTAAATTCAACTAAAAATTATTTTGTGGTGTGAAGTTATGGAGTTTAAATGAATTGTCCTTGCGTGAACTCTTGATTATTTCTTTTGTTTCTGCTTAAATTAGCAAATTTACTATATATGTTTATATTTACAAGTTTATTTTTGGAAGCTGCTTCTATTCTGTTTATCTTTCTCTCTATTCTTGTACCAGGACCTCAATGACTTGAATACTGAAAATTTTGATACAACTTAGTACCATGTACTAGTGCCCTTCATAATTTTATGTATGCTCTATTTGCAACTTTACTGCACTAAGAATTGTAAGATATACTGAACTGAGTAAATCTGTCCTTCAAGAATTTAGATACTAAAGAAGAGATAATAAATGCCTTATAATACAAAAAAAGGGACAAATGCCACAAGAAAATATTTCTTTCTGGGGATAGAATAATTCTGCTTTCACCTATCAAACTCAAATGAGAATATGTACTTTATGAAAAAATTTTCTTAATTTCAAATATGATACATACTCAAGGCAGAACAATTAGAAAACTCACTTCCAGTCAAGATAGCAGAGTAGATAAGTGCTGTGCTCACTTCTTCCCAAGACCACAACTCAATTATAGAACAACCACTCCTGAGAACCACTAGAAGATTAGTTGAACAGAACTCCTGTAACTAAGGATATAAAGAAGAAACCATGTTGAGATGAATTGGAAGGGCAGAAATGTAAATGGGGCTGGTCCCAACACACGTATGGTGGTTTGGAATAGTGGATATTTGACTGCAGAGGACCCCCCCCCCCCCACACACACACACACACAAACGAGAAGTGTAGACCCTGTGAAAAAAGATACCTGCAAGAAGGGCTAACTGGGCTCAAATTTTTAAAAATACAAACAAAATAAAACAGAACTATCAGCTATTTCTACACAAGGGCCCCTCAAGCAAACTGCACTTCAGAGAGAAGCCCGCACCGAACTGCCTGCTGCACTGTCTGCCATTGCAGCCAGCCCTTATAAGGAGCTCCTGGAGTCCTATTTCAACCAGTAGGACTGAGGCTTCCCCATCCGATCAGAGCTGCGCAGCTATGTCCCCATCAGCTTCTTCACCGACCAATTAGAGCAGCTCCATTCTGACCAATCAGGATAGTGTTTTTTGGACCAATCAAACTTTGAGGATTGGCAGTCCTCATTTGCATAAAGATGAACGAATCAGGAACCAGGGCTGGGGACTTTTGTCTACATAACTCAGTTCCCTTCCAGCTCTGGGAATAGGCTTTCCCTTTCTACTGGAGAATATTTCCACTGGAACAGTCCAGCACAGGGAGACCGGTGCAGAGCAGAACAGGACTGTTTAGCAAAAGAGGGGCCTTGCCCCACGGCTGTCTCATCCAGGGCCTCCTAACAACCATGCTGTTTTCACAGCTGTGCTGTATCACAGTTGAGCTATTTGCACTGAATAAAGTTTTCTTCTTCACCACATCACAAACTGGGGATTCCCACTGGTGTTGAATTGATTCCAACAACCGTCGGCTGACAGAAGCAAAAGGTCCCAGTTCCATACCAGGCTCCCTAGCTCAGAGCACCAGTGACAGGAAGAGGAGTCCCCACCATATCTGGCTGTGACAGTCAGTGGGGATTCTATCTGGGTGAGACCCACAGGACTCCAGCACAGACTCACTCTCTGTGGAGTATTTGCCCTAAGCTCCAGCGAAGAGACAGTAGCTCAGAAAATGCCAGGGACATATGAGGAGGAACTGAATTGTCTGGCTCAGGGTGAGAACTGGAGGGGCAGCCCTCTCTGGGACAGAAGTGCTGACAGGTGCTTTTGTTCCTTTGTTGAACTTTCCTCACACACAGCCACAGGTGCTGTGTGATTCCCTGAGACCCTGCCCCACCCAACTTGTGCATCCAGCCCAAACTTTTTTCAGCAAATATTCTAAATAAGTGGACAGCTCAGCCCATGCTGCAGACTTTCCCAAAATGTCACAAAGATTCACAAACCCCAAGCAAGCAGTAGCCGGCCTTGGTGAGCCCTGTACTTCTTGCTAAGTGACCCAAGCCTGGCACTAGTGGCAGCCAACCTTGGTTCACAGCATAGCCACTCCCAGGTACTCCCAGGTCCAGCACAGGCAATGACCAATGCAGATCACTTTGTAGCTCCAGACATAGGTAGCATCTGATCTTGGACTGTACTGGAGCCCCTCCCAAGAGGGTGACCACTGGCCTCTGACTACCTTGGAGGATCAGCTGTGCAGGGGCCACCACACAGAGCAAGACTTACTTCAGCAGGGCTCTGGTACCCACTAAGTG